TATTCCCAGGCATTTGGGAAGCGGTAAAAACGCTTCCCAAATGCCTGTCTGCCGCTTGCAAACAAGGCTAGTGTGAACGTAGCCTAAAGGCAAGTGCTCCTCAGTTGTCTAGCCTTTTTTCTTTTATAAAATGGGAAAAGGAGTTGCTCTTGGTTGGTCAGGTGCAGAAAGAACAGCAAGATGTGTCTCATGGGCCTAAGGCATTCTGCTTGACCTACAGAGACCCAACCTGCAACCATGAATAAATCTCCTGGCCCTGCATGAGAGTGTTCTCCACGCATTCAGAAACTGACGTGGATCAGGGGATGGAGTGAAGGTCTAGGACCCGCCTTTGTGCATGAGTGTGGCAGGGGTCTTCATCAAGCACCAGAACTTAGAACTGGTTCAAAATTCAGTTCTCGAGTGACTCATTTACTGTAGGGCCCTAGCTGGGAGGATCAGCCACATGGAGCAGCTGGGGGACACCTACAAGTAGTTACTGAAAACGTAGAAATGTGGCACATTCCTCTATTTGGGATGTGCCCAATGTAATCATGTACAGCAGGAGGATCGCATACTTCACCTGGAATATAAGAATTAACATAAAACGTGATTCAAATTATTTTTTTTTATTGTTTAGCTACCTCCCTGCCACCGTATTGTAAATAAAAAAAAAAAAAAAGGTGGAGATGGATGTGTATATCTGGAGTGTCATTTTTGAACATTACTCCAGAAACCACCTTGGCCACTGTGCCTGCTGAATGCCAGTGACTGAGCTGCTGTTAGACGGGGTGTGATCAAGAAAAAAACAGAATGAACTAAAAGGAGTGGCTCGGGTACACGTGATCACTGCCATGGTCAATCACCATGATCACATGCGTAAACTATATGATACTGTATAGACAGGCCCCCTTCTCTCAGATTATGTCATAGAGTGAGACAGAAGAGTGAATAGGATGTGAGCTGCCAATCCTGATTCATTTTACCACTGCATAATTTAATCTTTTAGATGCTAGAGTTGTTTATTGCAACAGCAATTTTACAAAGTAAAATACATTTGCACAATACAAAGACAATGCAAGAACCAAGTATTTTTGGACCCAGTCCCCTCCAGATACCTGAATCCTAAATTTAGGGGGGTTCTAACTAAAGGTGAAACTAACTTAATGGCTGAAAGGTTCTAGGGTCCCCTCAAGACCCCTTCTACTGGCCAGTGTGGTACTGGATGTTGAGACCCAGAGCCATGCACTAGAACACTCAAGTACATTTGCAATCCCACGGTAAAGGGTAAGTCCCAAGTTAGGGTAGGGCTGTCTATTACAAAGAAGGGTAATGAGGCTGTGGCCAGTAATGCTGTAGTGATGATTTTTTACAAAGCTAGTGACACCCCTCTCCTCCAACTGACTTGCTCACTCCAATGGCAGCAGCCTCCAAGTGAGTGTGGCAGTCCCACATGGACACAGCAGCAAACTGTGGCAGCAAGAAGTTTTTCCCTGCTCAGTAGCACACTCCAACTGTCACCTCTCACACCCTATGTGAGGCTTCTCTTTCTGTTTCCTCTTCTTAGCGGCACATCATCTTCCTGGGACTTACATACAGTTTTCTTCTTAATCGAGGCTGTGTCCTCCTCCCGCAGCTCTAGTGGCTTCCAGCAGTGCTTCCTTCTTTGCTCTCCTGGAGCTAATAACAGTGGTGGGGCTCTATGGCAGCCTTGGCTGCAGGGCAGCCTTTCTAGTCCTTGTGTTCTCTTTCCCTTGCCTTCCCCCTGCTCGGGGCTGCATCTGACAGATGAGAGCTGTGAAGATATCTCATATTCTGATCCGAAATATGAGCCAGTAGAAAAGAGTGGCACTTTAATAGACACTTCTGGTTCTGAAGATAAAGCAGTCCCTGCAAAAACAGGGACAGCCACAAGGGTGGCGCTATATACTTAAAAAAGCTCAGAAACATTTTGAAGAACCTTCGTAACTGTATACAACTGAACAGAATACTCCTATTGACAAATTCCTTACCCACTTCTCTTGTAAGCTCAGTATATAACAGTACATGCCCAATAAATGTGCCCGGGATAAGCCAATATTGTCCAAATATTTTGTATTCTTCCTTTAATCTTGGTGTGCTTTGTATATTTCTTCCAGATCTGTACAATAATCCAGCATGAGACTTGGCTACTGTGTAGGAGCTTCCTGTAATAAAGACCGATCACTGCTCATCTCTCACCCTGTGCAGGGTGACTGATCTTGTCTCCACCCTCCTCCACTAGCTTTCTGCAGGCAGCCTGTTGCTTGTTTTTTTTTTTGCATTTAAAATCAAAATTCACAAAAGAAATGCATTTTTGCAAATACTGTGTGACATAAAACATTTCAAAATCCACCAATTTATTGTCTAGGGTTTTCTCTAAGGCAGGGTTTCTCAACCAGGGGTTCATGGAACCCTAGGGTTGCTCCAGAGGTTGCTAGGGGTTCCTTGAGCAATGAGCGATTTCTGCCTCTCAGTTAATTTCCCATTTACATCATTGATCTTTTCAGCTAAGGGGGAAATTATTCCCAATTACCACAGGTGTAAGGAGCATTCTTCCCAGTGACCATCACAATAATGTATCATGAGTTGTAGATATAGTACTTTTTAGCAAGGGTTCCCTGAGACTGGAAAGTTATTTAATGGGTTCCTCTGGCCTGAAAAGGTTGCGAAAGGCTGCTCTAGGGTCTCTGCTTTAAAAAAAAATATATAATGTTTGGAGGTTCTAAGAAATTTTCTAGCAAAAAAATACTGATTGTTAGGCCCCTTTCAGAAGGGGCAGATCCATCAACATGATCCGCCTGCACAGCGGACACAGACACTACCCACTGATTTCAAAGGGAGGTCGGATAGAAACGGACCACCTGTCTGTTTCCACCCGATTGTCATCCGATCCGATCTGCTGGATGGATAGGAAACAGATCCCCATTGATCTGTTTTTTGATGTACAGGACTGGATCAGATGCCGGAGGGTGTCCGCTGACACCCGCTGGTCCATAGAAGTCTATGGATGGACCGATCAGGTCCGCCTGAAAAATGGACAGGTGGACCCCATCGGTCAAAAGAGCAAACTACCATTTGAATGGATAGAATTGCCAAAATGGCAAGGACTCAGCCAACAATCAGCTCCAGGAAGATCAAAAGAAGGTCTAAAGTTACCTGTGAGTACTGTTACAATTAGAAGACGCCTATGTGAAGCCAAGCTATCTGCAAGAAGCCCCTGCAAAGTCCTGCTGTTGAAAAAAATGACATGTGCTGAAGAGGTTACAATTTGCCAAAGAGCACATTGACTGAAGAGGAAATACCCTTGAAATGGGTGTTCCAACAAGACAACGAACCCAAACACACCAGTAATTGTGCAACATCTTGGTTCCAGACCAACAAGATTGATGTTATGGAGTGGCCAGCCCAATCCCCGGATCTTAATCCAATAGAAAACTTGTGGGATTAACAACAAAAATGCAGTTTCTGAGGCAAAACCAAGAAATAGAGAAGAATTGTGGAATGTAGTCCAATCATCCTGGGCTGGAATACCTGTTCACAGGTGCCAGAAGTTGGTTGACTCCATGCAACACAGATGTACAGCAGTTCTCAGAAACAGTGCTTATACAACTAAATAATAATTAAGTGATTCAAAGGCAAGCAAAATCTTCAAACATTTTTCAGTTTATATAGTGAATGTTTGAGTTTGTAAAGAAGAATACAAACACTGCTATTTTTTTGAGCAGTCTAATATTCACTCTTCAATTTTTTTAGAGGAACAACACAAATTTGATCTATTTTTCTTCATGTTTTGATTTGGAATAGAATGTGTCGTGTTCCCAATGCATTTGTGTGTATGAAAATAAAAGCTATTAGAAGGAAAAAAATGACGTGTTCAAAATACTCATTATGCCTGATAGAATATATATTGGAGTGTTTTCTTTCTAAAATGAGGTCATTTTGTGGATGTTTCCATTGTCCTGGTGCTCCAGGGCCTTCAGAACTGTGATGGGTAGTCAGGAAACTAGATGTGTAATTTATGTCCCTAGAATGCCGAATGGTGCTACTTGGATTTTGGGCTCCTCTATGTGGCTAGGCTGTGCAAAGTTTCACACCTGTACAACTGCACTCAGGAGGAGTAGCAGAATGTGTTTTGGGGTGCAATTGCAAGTACGCCTATACTGTGTGTGAGAAATAACTTCTTTGACAATTTTGTGTGGAAAAAAAATTCTTAATTTTCCAAAGAATTGTGGGAAAAAAATTACAACTTCAAAAAGCTCACCATGTCTCGTACTAAATACCTTGGACTTGGGGTATTTGTATTTTCCTGGCATGTTAGGGCCTGAAAAAATGTATGATCAATTGATCAAGTATGATCAATTTTCAGTGATTGGTACCAGAGCTTGTAGACTCTATAACTTTCACACAGACTAAATAATATACACCAATCTGGGATTACCAAAGAAATGTAGCAGTATAAAAAATGTACCTAAATTTATGAAGAAAAATTACTTTTTGCAAAATTTTATCATGGACGCTCAGAAAAACGTGTTTTTTTTTCAAAATTTTCTGTATTTGTTTTACTTATATCTAAAAAAAAATAAAAGCTTTATTTGTGTGAAAAAAAAATTACAAAGATTTTGTTTGGGTACAGTGTAGCATGACAAAGTAATTGTCATTCAAAATGTGAGCACTGAAAGCTGAAAATTGGCCTGGGCAAGAAGGGGGTAAAACCATACAGTATTGAAGTGGTTAAGTTTGATTTATCTGTTCTACTGTAGTTAATTCATCTTATGGGAGATAATCAAAGGAGATAGATTATATGGAATAAAAGATATATCTGCAATCGAGCTGTGATCAAATTAATAACAAAAAAAGCAATAATATAACTGAAAATATTTATTAAGAGACTGAATACAACAAATCAGTGTAAAAGGAGTCAAATACTTTTTTTTTTTTTTTTATGAAGAGATGAGCAGATAAGTGAAAGGAAACAATGGACACTCTGCTGGTTTTGTCCATCACTGCAGCTTGCATGTGTGGAATGTGCAGGCCTCCAGCAGTCCTATAGAAGGAAAAGAAAAGATAACATTTATGACATTTATATCATCATTATTCTTTGATTTCATATCATCTGTGCACCTTATAAATTAAAAAATGTATATTCTTCATTAAAATATATGTGGAAATATACAAATAACTACTACATGTCACTGGGTTCATCTATACTCAACATTCTTTCACCTGTGTCATTGCTGACCAGATCACTGGTTTCTGGATCAAATATCTGCAAACATCATTTGTTATTATTTAACTCTAATACAAATCATAATGCAAAAGCCTATATTTAGAGCACACATCTGTGAATCCTTCCTGCCAGGGACCCCCTGCCCCCTTGGTTGCCCCCCTCCCCCCTCGTAATTTATGCTTTTTTTAATGCTTACCTTTTCCAGATTTTCTCAGCTAGTGGACAATACTCTATAGTGAACAGAGCAGAACTGAAGTGCTTAATATGAGTGTAGGGTGCTATTGTGACATCCCCGCATGATTTTGATGTCCTGCTCTCACGGGTAGGGAATCAGTGCTGGATAAGGAGGGTATTGTATCTAGAGCTGCTTTTTTCATTTTGAACATTTGTGTTTCATTACGAATAACTGAAAATGATCAAGAAGTCAGGAGCAGCAGTGCCTTAGATCTCACACTGCACATATACAGCTATAAGGTTGTAATCACAAGGAATATTCATATACCAGGCCGTGCACTGTTATTTTTTTCAAAAGAAATTCAAGACAAAAAGGTAAATTTTCTGAGTTGCGAACAATTAACATTTCTAAATGTTCCATACAACAGCAAATCTTCCGAATTTTCATATGTTTAAGTTCAGTTTCAAGTTATTTAGTTGAGAATATATATAAATATATATATATATATATATATATATATATATATATATATATATATATATATATATATATGTGTTAGGTTAGGACCACTGAGTCAGCTGCTCCAACCCCCTCCATTCCTGCTCACTTAAGATTGAGATTGCTCAGTTCTCGGTTTTAGAAGCAGCGGGGAACAAATGCATCTGGGATTGGTGCTGGAGCCAATTAGGTGAGTATATCCATTTTGTTTTTTCGATTCCCATACTTCTCTTTCAACATCTCATACTCCTGTTTAAAAAACTAGTCTCCCTAGATGTAATTCAAGGTTCTCAACTTTCAATCTTGATAGCATTGGAGGTGATACTGAGCAAGTAGTTGAAAAGAGACTGCCTATGGGTAACGGACATACAGAGGCATTTGTCCCACTACATTATACTGGAGTTTTATGATTCTATGTGTGAGAAGATCAATTTAGATAATGGGAATTTCACTAAAGCCGGCCATAGACAATGCGATTTTCTTTCCTGCAACCACACGCCCCTCCTTCGGAGTTATTGTGTGCAGAGGAGGAGGACCATCACTGCTGAGAGAGCACAGTGAATATTGCTAGCTGCTGTAGCCGTACCCAGCAATCGAATTGGATACAATCAGCCTGTCCATAGATGGTTCAAAACTTGGGCAGTTCCTGCTGAACTGCCTGCAATTCAAACCATATAAGGCTGGCTTAAGCAATGATAGAATTATTTGAAGGAATATCTGTTTCATCCAATAGTGTAGTGAAGATATGGAAGTTTGTAATTAAGATGTTTTGATTTCTTTTATTGGGGGGGGGGGGGGGGGGGTTGAGAAAATAATGCCTGTATTTATATTTTTCAATAAAGAGTTTTTTTTTATAAAACATGCATTTAAAAAAATATTATAGTTGGAGAGTAGGGATCTCACCCTTACAAATAAATAAAAATTTTATTTTTGGTATGCATAGAGAGAGGTCCCATACACTGCACACCTTGCAAAGCCATTAGTATGCAGATGAAAGCAACCTCAGCCAACTTCAATCATAGTCACGCCCCCCCACATGGGGGTGGGGCTATGGCTGAAGTTGGCTGAGGCTGTTTTCACCTGTTTACTAATGACTTTGTTAGGGTGTGTGGTGTATGGGACCTTTGTCTATGCATATCCACAGTATGTGAGGAGTGTAGACGGACTCCTGCCCAGCCAGCATCCATTGCAGGAATCATTGGATTGATTTACAGGAGCTTGAGAGGAAATCTTAAGTTTATTGAGGTTACAAACTAACTTTTACCTGATTTTCCGCATTTGTTAGTATTCTCCAAAGCATCAGAATATTGTTTGCCCAGATAGTCATTCATAATGTCCTCTTTCACCTCATTCAGACATTGTGTAGAATCCTTAAATAGTTGGTCTTTTTTGCCTTCTGAGACAAACATTTCAAACTGTGGGTCTTGGCCTGCGTTCCTTCCGAATTTTTCCTACAATTGTAGACAAACATGTTGTTGAATACCTTGGAGTACTTACCAGCAGTCCTGCCCTGTATTTTACATTTGTCACAGAATTAAAAAAGGAAGAATGTGAAAATGTTGTTCAGAGTAAACTCAAACTGAATATGATAGCAACATCGATCTACCACACAACAAAATTCAACCACAATATAAGTTGAAAAATTGTAAAAATATTTGTGTTGCTGCTCAAGCACCCTTAAACTGTAATATCATTGTTTTTATGATTTTGTAGCATATTTTTTTGTTTTATTTTGTGTTATGTTGTGCCTTGCTGATCTATGCAATATTACATTGTAATCCATGTAGTTACTTAATTGTCAATACATTTACTGTTCTCTGGTGACAATGCTCATTGATTGGCTTACATTGAAGTGATGGCATTCTTGTTCTTCTGTGCACACTTCTGTTGTGAGAGTGCAGGCTGCTATGCTTGCTTACAGTACACCTGTAAGTATCCCTGTTACAGGTTATGCAGACATGTCAACTGTCCCGAATTTTTTGGGAGTCATGCAAATTTGCACTTCTTTATCCCAGCACACAAGATATCAACCACTCGAGTTTCCTCCAGAGCAGAGTGCTCCAATTTCTACTCCAATCAAAAGCAGGTTGTGTGGCCACAGACATTGGATGCTGTGTTAATTGATTTTATGCTTCTCATAAGTGACACCATAATGAGCTGTAATCCCCAGTTCAGGACTCTCCAGTTCTGAGATTATAACATAGATCGAATATAGGAGTTCTCAAAATGCACATGACAATCACACACCACGTTCTCTGTACTCCAGAATGGGGCTTTGCAGCTCAGGTTTGCTCAATTCACTTATCAGAAGCAAAAATTGAGCTAATAGTGTTTTTATACAAATAATTAGGCAGGAGCTTTACAGGACAGTCAAGGTTTTCTGTCAACTAAATGAACTGGCTGAGTTAAAGTGGTTGTAAACCCTTACATATATTCAATGAAGTGACTAGCCTCAGGTGATACACAGAGATTGAATTAATGCTCATGCATAAATTGTACCTGTTTATCTGCAGCCATCTGTCCTGTACATCCATGTAAAACTCAGAGATGAAAGGGATGTTTCACAGACTCGCAAAGCACAAGGCAGAGGGTTGGGAGCTGCAGTTACATACTGTACAGGAGCTCTGAGAGCTGATTGTAGGGAAGGGACACACTCCCTTCACACAGCATATAGGAACAGAGCTGAGGCTCTCAATTACATGCTGTGTGCTGGAGATCCCTGCTCATCACCTTTTTACCTCTTGGTGTCAGGAAAATGTGTCACAGAAACTAGACAGCAGCGAGAAATGGCGCTTAGGGCTTTGGAGAGAGGCAAGTATGAACTATAGAAATATGTGCTTTGTTCAGATGTAATGTCTGAGGTTTACAACCACTTTAATGCAGCACTATTTAAAGTTATAGTAAAGGTTACATTTCCTTTATTAAAATAGATCTTATATTTACCTACTCTGTGCAATGATATTGCACAGAGCGGTCCCTTACCTCCTTTTTTCAGTTCCCTTCTGGCACTGTCTGCTCCTTCTTCCTCCGGGTGCCCCTTCAGTAAGCCTGGTGCTAAAGGGGCACCCATGAGCAGGGCTGTGTGCACCCATACCATACACACCTCCACTCCTTCCTCCCAGTAGTTTGACTGACAGCAGCAGGGGCCTATGACTCCCGGTGCTCTCAATGTCTACTGTGAAAATAGGAAGTGAGGGGAGCAGGGTTGCAGCTAGAACAGTGCTGGATTGGTGAGTCAGATGAGTGTTTTTGGACAGGGATGGGTAGATGAGGTAGTAGGAAGTTTTTTTACCCGATTAAACCCAAAAGCAAACATTTATTATATTGAAGTTCACCAATTCTTAGATGTGATGGCTGCATTCATTTTCTTTTTTTAAGCTCTCTTTTTCATCTGGTGATCCAGTCAGTAAGTTTTTTTTTTTTTTCAAAACAACAAGTTGTCCAGCAGAATATATCAGTTACAGAGATGAGGCAAACTATTTAACACTAGCAGAGGTAGTGAAAGAAAAAGCTGATTGCTGTAACTGCTGAGAAAGTATTAGCTGGATTTTGGCTTCAATTTGATTGTGTAATTTATTTCTGTTAGTCCATCAAACCCCTACTCACCCCAGACTGACAAAGCTGCTATCCAAAAGTGTCCCCTGTGCTCCTTCATCCAGAGTGTATGGACTCTAATACAGAAGGTGTGTTAATAGCTAGATCAGCCTTGAGGTTTCTTCAGGAGTGCCTTGACGAAATATCTAGAAATTGGCCAAAACGTGTACACAAGCCACCTGGTGGGACAAGCCTGCCTTTTAGTTACACAAAGCCACAGGTTTTCATTGTGCACCATTAAGACCTACTAGCCACTGGTGTCCTGACAACTAATGACATCATCAGTTGATAAGGAGGATGTCAGCTGCCTGCACATCATCCTAGTTTGACCCTCCCCTACCCCTCTTCATCAGTGCTGGGGTTACATTAGCTCAGTGATGGAGAAAAAGTGAAGGGTAAGAGAAACACTAGAATAGTAGTCAGTACCAGTGTGCAAAAGTGTATTTGCTTGGGATATATAAATCACCTCTAGCATTGGGTGTCCATGTATGGATGTCGCTGCGTTATATAAAATATAAAACTATTAGAATAGATTTTTACATTTTAGAATGGGGTGCCCTTTTAAAATTATGGGCAGTCTAGAGGCACCCTATTTCAGAATGGGGTGCCTTAAGACTGTCCATAATTTTAAAGGGTGCCTTGATTGAAAAAAGGTTGCAGAACACTGGGCTAGATCACCAGGTGAAAACAATGGTGGTAAGTTGCAATATATTACATTTTTGGCATTGAGTTTAATACTGTTTTCATGCAGATAATGCAGTACAGTCATAGGACATCAGAAAACTACAGATTATTAAAAAAAAGAAAAAAAATACTTTATTTTAATGGTTTTATTAGAGGTCATGTGACCACCTACTGAGTTTTTCTTGCAGTGTAAGCACTGCGGGTGGCAAGAACCTGCAAGAGGATTGTCACTCAAGGACTTCAGTTTTACAAACAAACTTGTAATACAGGGCTCACTTTCCTTGCCTAGTGTCACTAGCGGACTCTTGCTTTCTAAAGGTACAGCACAGCAGTAGTTGTGCTATTTCAGACCCTCTGTTGGGTATTTATATCAAATTTAGATAGCACTTTGGCCAGTAAAAGTGCAGGTACAATTGTTCAATGCAATTGGGGAAAAAAAAAACAAATGTTATTAAAGCAGAGCTACAGTCTCACTTAAAAAAAATAAAAGTCAGCAGCTATAAAAACTGTAGCTGCTGACTTTTAAAAACTAGCCACTCAACTGTCCTATGATCCAGCGGTGTGCTCAACAAGCCAAATTCACTGGCCGTCCTCTCTCCCAGGTGCCAGCATCTTAAGTGTGGGCACCCGGCTGTGACAGCTTGCGGCTTCACAGCCAGGTGTCCACTGCTTATGAGTGAGTAGTGCTGTACATTGGGAATAATCCCGTAGTCTTCAGGGACCTGTCAAATGTCCCAGACGACTATGGGGAGGAAAAGAGATGCAACTTCTGCTTCCGTTGGCCTAGGAAGTCAAAGCAGAAGTGGAAGCAGATACCTGTCAAAGTCGGGTACCAGTTACCCCCCACTGCTCCCCAAAGGTGTCAATTCCTCACAGGGGGCAGGAGACCAGTACTTAAAGTGGAACTTCCCCTTTTGGGTGGAGCTCAACTTTAAGATACTGTATCTCCTGTGTTGGTGGAAAATGTTTGATTGATTTTTAAATGGAAAATACTGCATTTGGGTAATTTTTTTATAATTAGTCCCTTATGTTTCTGTTTAAATGTCCCAGGGAGATGACTAAAGAGAAAAAAGGGGATGAATTACAGTCTGTCTCATTCACTGTATCAGGAACTAAGAAGGGCCCTCTGACTTTCTGATACATTTTTTTACAGTAAATTTTTTTTTTAATCCTGGTCATAGGACAGATAGAAAATAAAACCAAAGCCACTATATGTCCAAGTAAAATGTGGCAAACCCTAAAAGTAGAGAATAGTGTCCAGGGTTAGGAAACTTCCCCATTAACTGCTGCCTGTCAGCCAGATTTCATGGCAATGACCCCAAACCACAGAGACACTGCTTAAGCTGAAAAGAAAAACAACATCATGTCAGTAATAAAATCCATATTACTTTCCTGTATAAGAGATTTTTCCCTGATATATTAAAAGTAGGAAAACAACATAGAGGATAAGTTCACCTTTCATAACATGTTACACCCATATTCAGGGTATAATATGTTATGATCAGACTGGCCCCCACTCCCTCTTCTCCCCTGCTTTGACAGCTAGCGGGGGATCTTCCCCCCTTGCTAGTTGTCAAATAATAAAAAAATGCTTGGCCATGTGGGGCTCCACCTGCCCAGCCGCATCACTTTTTCACTGTGCTGTTGAGCACTGTAATAGTTTATTGCTTGCCTGTACATCCTGTATGGGCAAGCAGATATACTGACAGATCTGCAGGAGACCTGCATGGCACCAGTGATCTGCTGGTCGCTGGTGCAATGGTTTACAGGCTCCTGCAACAAAAATTAATAAATGCAGATTTTTTTTTTACATGCAAAAAATGTGCATTTATTATTTTTTGTATAAAGATGAGCTTATATTTTAAAGAAAAACAGTTATTATTTTAGGCAAAAATATTCCCAATATTTAAGTGTCGAAAGAGAGTGCACGAAAAGAGCTTACCTGCTGCTCTTTGACAATTCTTACAACTACTTCTTTTCTGTTTTGGGTGGTGATAACAGCATGAGCTGGTACTGCTGCGAGGTGACAGCTTGCATACTCAGAGACAGATTTGCGGGAGCCATCTGGACACAATAGTTTCAAATCATCTTTCTTCGTATCTTTAGCCCATGCTGGAGATTTGTCACCTACACAGTAAATGAATCTCAGTTATTTCATTGCCACTCTTCATAGATGTGACGGTATGTAACTCTGACATTCAAATGTTGAAATAACCAGTGCTACATTAAGCAATTGCTGTACAAAGGTGTTCGTATCCTTTAAATCTCTCTTCATATACAAACCTCTTAGTTTTTGTGACATGTAGATGGCTCTGGGGTAGTAAAAACAGTGTGCATAGAATGAGGATAACTGCAATAGATTCTCTCCTTTGGGTGGTAATTTCAATCAGAAAGGTTGGAAAGTATTATGAGATTGACCTGCTGCTTGGTTGATAGTCAGATCCAAATGTTTGAATAGTCAACATAGGTCATAGCCTAGGGTGGCAGGAGTGGCACTTCATGTTACTGACAGTCAATAACATATCCCTATGTAAAATATAAAGTTCTAGATTACTACTCTGCCCAAACAAAGCCTCCTTGTTGCTGTTCTTGCAAAATTGGTGTCTCAGAGTATTCAGTGGCAATGACTAGGGCTGGGCCAACCCAAAGACAAGACAGGCTACTTCATGGGTACTGTGGTAGGGAGAAGGAGAGTGACTGTGGTGAAAACCTCCCCTGGCACTGTACTGGCCTGTGGTCTTCTGCACCCTGTAGAACTGGTCACACGGACAGTCCAGCCCCTCAGATTACAATCAGAAATCGGATCACCCAGTGCACCCTTGGTCAGTACAACAGCTGGCCAAGCCCCATATGTCCTTCTTTATTAGGCCCCATTCACATATAGGCAATTTGAAATCGCAGGCAGAATCATGCATTTTTTTAATGCACCCCAAACACGTTGTGATTTTGCCAAAATTATTGCGTGACGAAACACATGAGAACATGACAAAACGTGAGTGTGAAATCACTCCTGGCTCAGGGCCAAAATTTGGTTTCTGAGCTTTTTTGGAGCAGTGAATGGGCTGCCTTATGTGCAACACACATCTCCGCCTGTGAATCTCACACACAAAATTGCTAGCGGGATCTCGCATTCTCACTAAAGCGACATGTGAACAGGGCCTTACTCTTTCCTTTGTTGTCCTTATGTATTAAAGGGACACTAAACAACATCCTTATGCACCTGAATAATCCATCCACATCCATTACCTAAAGACCCTGTAATTTATTTTTGATGAAATCATAGTGTATCTTATTTAGTTTTTTGCCTCCTTATAACATCCTCTATGAGCTCTCAAACATTTTGTTTGGTTAGCAGTTGTGTTTAGCAGTGCATTCTAGTTGCAGTCATATACACTGCTCTGTTCATGCTAAAAATCCCATAGTCCTTAGTCTATCTCGGGAGCAACAAGGAAAGAGGGGGCTGCATTGCTTCATTCATTGGGACCATGGAGATCGAACATAACCACCCTCTAACAGGAAGTTAGAACACAGCAGCAAAAAAAAAGGAACTTAAAGTTTTGAAGGAGGCTGAGAGCAATAGAATGTGCTTTTATGTGTAAAGAATACAAACTTGCATACAATATACAGTGTACTTTTTAAACCAGAGTTTACTGTCACTTGAAATTTGAGTTTATTTAAAGCCTGCTGCATATGCCAATGACAGTTGCAAAGATACCCTGAGCCTAAAATAAAAGTCATGAAATGGGAAAAAAGTGGGACAGCTAGCACTGATAATGAATTGGCAATAGAAAATTCTTCTATCACTGGCACTGCTAAAATACTGAAATATCTAATGTTACCTCTCTGAACTTACAGAGTCATGATTTTTGACCCCTCAAATTAAGTAATGGGTTTACCCATAAAGAGGAAGATTTGGACTGATTTGGAGCATGTCCCTTCCGGACTTACAGATTTTAGAAAATAACATATTGGAGGGGGTATGTCATGTATCTTTCCCCCAATTTTTCACACTAATAATTTCAGACGGCATACAAAATTTGACATTTTACTTACTTTCAATGAGTTCGTCAACAGTGGTGTGCTTCACAAAAGCTACTTGTCCTTTCTCAATGAGACATCTGAAGCAAAACAGAATATGCATGTATCTGAATGTAATTATGCTCTGCGAACCATGTATCATATACATATATGTATAATATATATATATATACACTTTTCCCCCCCTGTAATATGCTTTTGAATCCCTTTATAGTCTCGGGGGATATTTAGAGAAGATATACTTACTGGACTCTGATTTTTTTCAGAGGACAGGGAACCAGGATGGTAATGAAGGGGGTCACACTTGAGGAACCCTCAGAATGGGGGGAAGTTGTGTGAGCCCCTGGTCAAGACTCTGCAGTGACATCTAGTACAGTTAAGCTGATATCATTGCAGTAATCATAACACCAGTGGCAAAACCATGATGGAGGTAGATAAACCAACTTTTGGGAAGCACTGGTATAAACTGCACCCTTCTTATCACATTTTATATGAATGCTTTAAATGATTCAGTCTTTGGTCCTGAAGACAAGTGGAAGAAATAATGCACTTTTTTACACTTAGAGTTACATTTTTGTATCTTTATATCTTTCACCAGTGGCACAGGATAAGGAGGCAAAGCCAATGCAACACAAACAACTATGTCCATACTTCTGGGTTCATAGGCACAACAAAAGTTAGGACATATGGAATAACTAATCAGATGCCCAGCCATTTATTAGGAGTCCCCTTACTCTACAGTTCTACTCCCTCTGACATGATCAGACGCCAGTGGGTATCTGTTCACCTCTTTGATGACTAGAGATTCACACAGGAGACACCAAAACTCATAGTAGGCTTGTACATTGGTGGACACAAAAAGTGAGTATGTATTTTGCACCTGGTAATGTGTAGGCCTTTGCTGGCATGTTGTGTCTGTCAGGAGCATCTAGCGCTCCTGATCTATCACAGCTGCTGGTCTCATTCCAGTATCCTGGTTTTGGCTATGATGCACTCTCTCTGTCTGTCTGTCTCCCTGCAAGGTGATTGATGTGGCCAGTTTCTGGGTGGAGTGCAAACCTGATTTAAGCCAGCCAAGCCTGCAGTCTAATGCTTGTGATATTGCATTTGTAATTCATGCTCCAAGATCTCTGTCTGTCTGTTCTGCTCTGCTGTTTAGATTCCCTTGTTGACAAACTAGGATTTGATATCAACTATCCTCTGAACTCCGCGCCTTTTGACTACAGCTCTGATCCTGACTATTCTGAACCTTGCCTGCCTTGTACCTTCACTGTCATTGAACCACTCTGCCTGTCTGCCATCCATAAGTACCTGCTTGCTGTGCTCAGTTTGCACCTGCCCCACGTGGTAGCCAGGCACTATAGCATTGTGTATAAGTTCTGGGGACAACCGAGTACTGGTAGGCCTGCTTGCTTTATGGGAAAGGGGGGCTGCTATAGGTGAAGAACACAGAAGCTAGCTATAGTGCCTGTCCATCTGCATTAGGAGTAAGCATGACAGTGTCCTGCACAAATTCTAGTTTATTATAGAAACAGATACCTTCCTATGGCCAGTATAGGTTGACCTTGGGTAGGAAGATCAGAGATCATCAATGGCATTTCACACAGTTCTATAGTTAGTCAAAAATAAAAAAAAAGCATATCCATCAAATTCAACCAAAAGACAAACATAGATTAATTGAAATCCTTGCTTCCAGAACTGTAATCTGGTGGTTGACCCTTATAAAGTCTGTTTCAATATGCTTCCTGTTATTTCTTATACAGTAAATATTATTAGTAAACTATATACTCTATTTCCACATTTAGAAAGACAACTGTCCCCTTTTTTGAAACAATTTACTGAGTTAACTAAACTAGATACTGTAGAGTTTCATGCCAAATGCACTGTTGAGTTTCTTTGCATCTCCAGCTAGATTTGTTACATATATATATATATATATATATATATATATATATATATATATATATATATACACACACACTGGGTATAGAAAAGAATCACCCCCCTTTAAAATAATCACATTTTGCTGCTTTGCAGCCTGAAATTAGACAGACACAGTTTATGTTTTATCCAGCTGTATAACACCAACATGTCAGAAAAAAGAATTAAAAAAAAGAATTACTGAGTTGGAAAAAGGATCACCACCTTGAGTCAGTATTTTATTGAACCACGTTTTGCTTTAATTACAGCCTTATGTCTCTACTAACATTGCACATCTAGACTTTGCAATATTTGCCCACTCTTTACAGAACTGCTCAAGTTCAGTTACATTTGATGGTGGCTGTTTGTGGACTGCAGTCTTCAAGTTGTTCCACAGATGGGGTTTAAGTATATAATATAATATAGTCTGGGCTCTGACTAGGTCATGCAAGGACATTCACCTTTTTCACCTTCAACCACTGTGTGGTCATTTTTGCTGTGTGCTTTGGGTCATTGTCATGTTGAATGGTAAACCTTCTTCAAATTGGCAACTTTCAGGCAGAGGGCAGCAGATTTTCCTCAAGAATTTGACCGTATTTTGTCCTATCCATTTTTCCTTCTATCTTGATAAGTGCTCCAGTCCCTGCTGCAGAGAAACACCACCATAACAGGATATTGCCACCTCCATGCTTTACTGTAGGCATGATGTTATTTGGATGGTGAGCTATACTGGATTTCTACCAGACTTATCGTTTAGTGTGTAGGCCAAATTATTCAATTCTAGTCTCATCTGACCAGAGAACACCTTTTTCTATGTGGCCTCTGAATCTTCAAGCTTTGTTTTGGCAAAGCTCAGTGGTGACTGCATGTGGCCTTTCCTTGGGAGTGGCTTTTTTCTTGCAGCCCTCCAATACAAGCCACATTTGTGAAGAATTTGTGACATTGTTGTCACATGTACACAATGAACACTCTTTGTCATTAATTCCTGTAACTGTTTTCAGAAATGCTGTAGGCCTCTTGGCAGCCTATCTGGCCAGTTTTCTCCTGGGTCTTTTATCCAGCGTGGAGTGAAGTCCTGATCCAGGGAGTGTCTGTGTTGTACCAAATACCTTCCACTTCTTAATAACATACTTCACTGTGCTTCTAGGTGCCTCTGCATTGATAAAGCCTTTGAACGTTTTTTGTATTCATCTCCTGACTTGTGCCTGTCCACATCTTTATGCTGAAGATCTTTTGACAGGGCCTTGCCACCCATAAATAATTGTTTGCTTCTGCTGCACTATCAGGGAATGAAATGCACCAGGAAAGCTCTTTTCATGATGAGCTAGTCAAAATTACCACAGCTGATAACAGTTGAATGTCAAACGGTGTTGTGTGCCATAGAGAAGGTGATTAGCTGTACCTGATTGAGTTTATAGGGAATTTTTAGGAGGGGGGGGGTGATCTTTTTTCCAACTCTGGTTTCTGTTTTTTACTTATTTTTATTTTTTTCTGGCATTTTGGTGTTCTATCTGAATTTCACTAATAAAAAATAAATACAGCTGGATAACACAAAAACTGTATCTGCCTGCATTTCAGGCTGCAAAGCAACAAAATGTGATTGTATTAAAGGGGTGTGTGTGAATCTTTTCTATACCCACTGTATATATATATATATATATATATATATATATATATGTATATATATATATATATATATATATATATATATATATATATATATATATATATATATATAAATATACACACACAAATTTGCTTAGTTAAAAGGTTGAACTACAACCCATGCCCATCAAGTTACAGCTAAGTTTTGCTACCTGACCAATAAGTAATCTAGTATTGAATAAAAAAATAATATTATAGATAGATAGAATGTTGTAGCTTACAAGGTGGAAAACCACACTTCTATATTTTTTAGCATAATTTTAATTAAATCTTATGATGGATTTTTATTTTGTAATTTTTAATTTTTTCTTTCTTTGATTGATTTTTCTATCCTAAAAATAACTGTTATTCACTAATCTTGTTTAACTATTTGGTTTACTTCATCACAGTTATAATCCTTCATTCCATTACCTGAGGGCACCTTCATAACCATGATATGGCTCTCTGCTATTTGGAAGGCATTTTGATTTATCATTTCCAGCGCATAGCTTGCAGAGGTTAGAATTAACATCAGCTCCAGGAATACAGCTCTCCTTGAAGAAGGTTGCTGCCAAAATAAATGACAGTGTCAACATGTTTGTAGAACAATAAAAAGAACCCTCACCCTTTCAATTATGATGCCTTAGTTTTGGATGCCATCAGGTACCTCTCTGATTTCTTAAGATTTTGGTTATGCCAAATGTTCTTCCTTTCCCTTTCATACTATAAGTATAGTGTATTCTAGCTGCCACAGAATAAGCTTTTTCAAGGAAAAGTGTAGAGGGTCCAGGTGTTTCATTGAGGCTATCTGGGACCGCACCAGCATAATATGCCCAACCTTTATGTTGGGGGGAATCTAGTGCCTCTGCCTACATTGATGGCACTGGTACCTGGTCCCATAATGAAACAAGTGCACTCTTTTAGTAAATGTGCAATCGCAACAGCTGACTTTGGAAAATGTCAGTGTATGCAGTTCAACATGAGTTCAAGGTGGAACAAGAGGGACTTGTAAAGAAGCTATGATGAAATATTGTTTTTCCCTGCATGGCCAAACAGAGCAAAGAAAAGGTGATACTACCTGGGAATTGGGCGGTATGTGATCCCTTTAATTTTTACTGTATAGACTAAGAAATGGCTCTGCTTAAGGATTTTTAAAGGCAACCACCATTTCCACAATAATTTTATAAGTAGTATTATTTATGCATAACTGAATTAAAGGGGGTGCTAGAAGTCTAGAAATATGTTGACATCCTAGAAAAAAAAACACACTTTAACTCAAATATGCCATTAGAGTTATGCTGACCACAACTTTACTAATAATACAAATAATTTATAACTTAATATCAAATTAAAGATTTGCATTAGCATTCCAGAATTCAATAACATAAAATGAATAAAAAGAAAATGGGTCCTTAACAATGGCCTTGTATTATAACTTCACTGTAGTTCAGTGCCAGCCATCAGTCACACCTAAACAGTTCACTGGGAACACTATATCCAGCTCCAATGATCTTTTATCGGCCACTTTACATAAAACTGTGAAGTTAGTTGTTCATAACGCCAACCATTTTAACAATAGTTGTGACCATGCAAGTAGAAACAACACCCACAAAAAATGACCTGGAAAACAAGCCTTCCACTTTAGCATTGCCAATCACCTGTCCATTCATTAGCAATACTACCCCCACAATGTAACCACTCCAAAGCCAACTAGACATGCTAATGTAATGCCTTACAGAAAAATTAGCTTTGATGTAACAACAAGGGTTGTACTCCCTTAACTGTTCCAGCTGTCTTAATACCTACTGTTTTTCTGTCCATTCACACTGACACTATCCAGCCCCCCCCCCCAGATAGCTTAATTATCCCCTTTCCCGCTTTAACAGCCTGTCTAGATAACTTTGACTAGCTATACTATCGCATAGGGTAATTTTTGCAGCACTGAGATAAAAAGGGAGTGGAGTTCAGTTACATGGTTTCTTAGCAAACTGATAAAATGTTGCCTGAAATTTTAAATTATCCAAATAAGGTAGGCTCACTAATTAAAGGCGAAGTATAGCCAAAGCAATTTTGGCTATACTTCTATGGAGTTAGTTCTGCACTCCTGTGATCCGTTTTCAGCTGACAGCAGGCTGAAACCCACTGACTTTAATGTTGGGATCTACCCAGATTACAGACCAGCAACTGGATCAGCCTCGTTGCACGCCACTGATAGATTGAGCTAACTGATTTCGCAACCTCCACATCCCATCACTCCAGACTGCTGATCACTCAATTTTCAGTATTCAGTGAGCAGAGAGCCGCTAACTGTCAGTGTCTCTGCTCTGCCCCTCCAGTGCCCACTGGAGTGACGGGCTTTGGGTAGAGGACAGAAGCAGTTAGCTCAAGCTATCAGTGGTGTGCAAAGAGGCTGAGTCAATTGCCAGTCTGGAATCTGTGTGGATTCTGACATTCAAGTCGGAATCCTTCCAGATTCTGCACTTGCTCAGTGATGTCAGGTGACAGTGGGCTTTAGCCCACTGTCAGCTGAATAAGGGTCACAGGAGTGCAGAGCTAAGTGAACTCCTGTTACCCACAGGTGAAGTTGGGCCAAAAAAGCTTTGGCCATACTTTCTTTAAAATTGAAAAATGTAAAGTAATGCACTTGGAGCTTAAAATATGAATGCAAGTTACTTGCTAGAAGAAGATCTCTGCAGGAATTGAGGATGTGAAAGGATCTGGGGTCCTAGTAGATCACAGAATCAACAATAGCATGCAATGCTAAGCTACACAAAGCAAAGTCAGCAGACTATTAGTATGAATTCAAAAAGGGTATCTACTCAACAGATAAAACTATGATTCTACCACTTTACAAAACCTTGTGTCAGCCACATCTTGAGTAGGGAGACTAGTTTTGGTCACCAATCCTCAGGAAGGATGTCCCTGAAATGGAGATTCCAGAGAAGGGCAGCAAAGAAAACTAGAAAAGGTACAATTTCTGGGGAAATTTCACCACAAAAAACGCGATATTTTGAAACGTTCCACAAATTAATAGCAATCCGATTGGGAACAATCCGCACGTTTTGATATATTACTTGTCTTTGTAGTGTAAAAACTGTGGGAGGAGTTAGCGTGGCAAATTTGGCTATAATAAGAATAAGAATATATATGTGAGATAACAATAAGTGTTCTTGCAAGAACACTTAATAAGGGGGCTGGAGCACCTCAGTTGTGAGGACTGACTTTGAAATTGAAACTTATTCTCCCTGGAGAAGAGACCACTAAGAACGGATATGACCGTGATATACAAACCTTTAAATGGTGGCAACAGCATTGTGAGAAAACTATTTAATCTAAGATTTCTAAAGAAGACATGCCCACACAATGAAGTTCAACAAGAAGCAATTCAAACTTAAACGATAACTTTACCTTTTTAATAAATTAATAAAAAGCACATCTTTTTGTAGGAAAAAAGTATATGCATTTACTATTTTTTTACTTGGAGCCTGTAACGCATTGCATCTGCAATCAGCAGATCATGGGTGCCATGTAGGACTCCTGCAGACTTGTCAGTGTATCTGTGTGTTCTTACCTTGTACAGGTAGGCAAATACACACTGACAGGAAAAGAGAATGGCCAACCACAGTACTAAACAGTTCTGTGGTAATTCATTGAGAACTACAAGCCAATAGCCACAAAGTAGTTTTGTGGTAGTTGTAGTTTTCCAATTCACACAGATCAAAAGGAACCCCCAATAGTAATACAGGACTTTTAAGGCAACTTCATAAAGGACTAAGGTAAGAAACAAAGACTTTTTTCAATTGTTTCCAGTTCACAGAACACTTTTTTTCAGATTGTGATGACAGCTAGAGGGGGGTGGTGGTGGTGGTGGAGAAGATCCCCCACTAGCTGTCACAATGGGAGATCGGGGGATGGTGCAATTGTTACACCTTGTATATGGGTGTAACATGTTGTAAAAGGTTAAAAGGTGAACTTATCCTTTAAATTGCATAAGGGGTTGTTTACTGTTAGAGCAATAAGGATGTGGAACTCCTTTCTACAGTGTCAGTGGGAAGTGTAGATAAATCCCCAAACATTTCAGATGTGTTTCTTAGCTAACATAATGTACAAGAATATGGAAAATTGTAGTGCCCTAAACACATACAGTTGATAAGGTTGAATGAAGACACTGGTCCACCCAGTTTGACCTATGTATATACTAACTTACACAAATCACAAACTCCAGTTTCCTTCTGAATGAAACCAAGAGGGATAATATAGCCAGCGGTGCGTCCATAACCTGTGTGGCAAGTCTTCAGATCTCGTAGATTTTTTAATGTGATGTCTTTGTCCTTATTTTTTACGACAGCAACAGCATAGTATATGCCTTGATGGAGATCAAACGAGACATTAATATTTTGATATTTAGGAAGTAGATCTTCCAAAACACAAAAAACTTATATACAGTAGCTTGGTGCAGAACAACAGTGTCTCAAAACAGTATAACCAGTTTACATGTGCCAAAACCCATGCATGCATAACAAAAGGAACAGATATAGTCTTTCAATTATATAATGAAAATGTGACTATTCTGTAAACATGCACATTCTCTTTAAGAAACACTTTGTTGCTGTGAATAGACACGTGCATTTTGTAATGAATTAATTTTGTAATGAAATCTTGATTTTCAGAGATTCGGATGTATATGAATCTCCAAATGGACACAGTAATTAATGTCAACAAAAAAAGTTATAATGAAATTAACAAATGCATTTGTTTCATTTGGATGATGTCACATGATATGATAGTAATTTGGGCCCATGGGGAAATTAATACATTTTTTAAATTTGTTCAATAATGCGGGGTTTAAGTAAATTTGTGATTTAAATTTAATTCAGTATTCATATATTGAAACTATTCAGAAGGATTTGATATTTTCAGACGCAATGGAATAAATAATGCTCGAAATGACTGCTATTCTGCCTATTCACAGCTAGACATGTGCAAGCCAGAAATTTTCATTTTGTTTGTATTCATTCATTGAAGAATTTAATTTCGCCATATTTGTTATGTTGAACCAATTCGTTTTTTTGGAATTCGGTATTTTTGGAATTTGTTTCGTATTATCATTGGTAAGGGTGGATTTGAAAAATAATAATAATTTGTATTTGTCACAGCCAGTCAGTTCAGTTCCATAGTCTAATGCAATGCTTAGGTTTGAAAAACTCAAGGCCACTAAATTTAGCATTATTTATTCCATTGCGTCTGAAAATATCAAACCCTTCTGAATAGTTTCAATATATGAAATTTGAAACCGAAAACTAATATATAGCAATGTTCTCAAAAAACTGCAACATTTTTCAAATCCACCCTTACCAATGATAATACGAAACAAATTCCAAAAATACCGAATTCCAAAAAAACTAATCAGTTCAACATAAATATGAAAAAATGAAATTCTTCAATGAATGAATGCAAACAAAATGAATATTTCTGGCTTGCACATGTCTAGCTGTGAATAGGCAGAATAGCAGTCATCTCGAGGTTTTATGCATGTCTACTTATGATGTTGGCTGGTGAACGCCATCAGTACACTGGAGTTTGCACATCTACACATTACAAATCAAACTCAAGGCTTAAATATAACAAAGTACCTTTTGTATTTGTCTTTTTTTGTTTGCACACTTCAGCTGTTCAGAGATTAAAAAGAAGACAAGTATAATACATAATATTAAAACAAGCACATTCTGTTACATGAAATTAGAAATACATTTCCCCAACATAAACCCTTTCCTCTATTTCTGCTTCCTACATAAAACTAATAAGATAATGACAGAAGCAATAAACAGTTACTAAATACATACATACACACAAATAGATATGTGCAGTTTAGGAAACTAATGCCTTGATATTGGCCTATTGGTTGAAATGCTTTGAGCGGAGCTTGTGCTGATGTTACTTTCGCCATGAGCAGCTGAATAAGGAGGTGTTTTACATGTTATTTACATTTACACTTATGTGAGTATTTTATCTTAAACTTGGCTGAATTAAATGGCAGTTCTGCACTATGGTATGTTTGTTTGTCTTTTACATGCACAAACACTGAGCGGAGTGGTGGTGCAGTACATGACCATTGGTTGTGTATTTTTGAGACTCATAAAGTGACTTTGGATATATACTGCTGACATTTTTAAATCCAGGGAGACTTTCCATGTGACCTCGGAAAACTGTGGAAGGTTGACTGCTGATATACTATATATGCTCTTTATAGACCACTTATAACGTGGGGTCTCATCATCTGGTAAGAGACCATTGTAACTGGTAGTGGTGATCTCACATGGTGGTTCACTTATGCAGTGGACACCTTGCAGACAGATTAATGGTGGTAGAACCCTCGAGGCTTCACATAATTTAAGTTAGAAGATTTAAACACATTGTCAGTGGACTTTTTTGTGAAACTTATTGATTAATTTAGGATCATCTATTACATATTTAATGTGTCACTTTTTTTATGCATTGAATTATATTTGGTTTTCATTTTTTAATATTTAAAGATTGTTTATGTTAATTGATAATTTGATACATTTCTATGGATTCATAGCAATATTTGCTATGACGTTTTGCAACAATTGAGATACACAGCACAACAATTTTTTCAGTAGCATTTTAGGAACCTGTCAGAATATATTCAGTTGTTAAGCCTGAAAAAGACACTTTAAAGTGTAATGGTCAGCAAAGACTAGTCCATATATACATCCCTGTTTACTAGTAATAGCTTGTAGACATACATATCGTGTAGACAGACATTACGAGAACTAATGGTATACTGCACTTAAAATGGAACTTAACAATATCTCTGCATCACAAATTGAAAATGCTATTTAATTTATTTTTAATATTCAAACCAAACTCCCCCATCCATCTATGTCCCCATGCTTTATTTTTCTCATAAATCACTCTGAAACCCTCCCCTCCAGCTTTCTAGTTGAGGCAATATTGTTTACGGTCATCATTGTACAGAGGGAGTGTGTAACACATCCAGTCCTTCTGCCCTGCTGCCAGGACCTCCCCTGTCCCAGTACTCTGCAATTCAGCTATCATTAATCAACGTGGCATTGCCAAGTGCACAGAGAAAGTTCCAACAGATGGATTGATAAAAAGAAGCAGTCTGGCAATGTTTACCAACAACATTCCTTAACCATGAATACAGAATCATACAAGAAAACATTCTTTCACTTTGTATATTTCTGTTTATTCATCTACAGATCAAAGGGATGAACTTCCATCAGCATATGAAGTCAGTTAAAGCAATGTGACAAGTAAAAAAAGTTTTTTAAATTAAATGTTCCTCTGTTTAACCCCTTAATAACTCTTAGTTTACTCCAATCAACCCTAATTAGTTCCATATTTTCCTTCTCCATCCAATTATTTTGCTGCTGATTTTTTGTGTGTGTTCCTTTCTATTTTATTAACTTTTTTTTTTGTTTTTGTTTGTTTTGTTCGTTAATATTTTTACGCCTTTAGCATATATTTACACATTTCACATTTAAAAAAGTGAAACATTGAAAAAAAACCCTCTTTGCTTCATTTGTAAAAAACATTGCAATAATTTGTACCAGAATCATAATTTTAGTGTCATTTTAAACAGGACAAATTAAAGAATGAAATGTGCCCTTTTGTGAAGTAATGCTATTTATTTTTAAACTAACACTGCTCTAAAAAGAGAGTGTGTTTTGTTACTTTTTTATGTTTGTTTGAGGATAGCGAAAAAAAAAATGGTTACAAGACAATATTCACGAAAAGAGAGCCTTGTTTGTCCTTAAAAAAATGTATTATATTATTATCTTTAGTAATGACAAAGTTATTGCCAAATAAACAGGCCCATAGCAGAAATGTAAAAACTGCTCTGGTCCATAGGGGGGTGAACAGCTGAAAGAGGCAAAGTGGTTGAAAACAATAAGCTAAGGTCAAAGTGAAGTATGAAGTTCTGGGTATGTAACTCACACTACTGAAGCCATTGGACCCACAGACAAACAACCAAGGCTAAATCATCCACAAGACTGCCTAAGGCAGGAGCCTAGGACATGGCGAATGATCAGGGGGTCCAGCTACAACTTTCAAGCTTTTACAGTAAAACATGTGGATATTGGAATCAGCTGAAGCCATGAACTTGTCTGTTATTTAACAGGGAAAGTTAGTGTCTGAAGAGAAGAGCCTTGACAATTCAGACAATGCAAATTGTGCAGCTTTTTGCAACCTTATTAATGTAAAAAAAATGAAGGAATGAGTGGAAAGGTAGGAGGTATCGCCAACTGCAGCCAAAGTATTCCACCCAGTACAAGTTTTCCTTTGAAGTTTGTTCTTGCTAATAAACAAGAAAACAGAGCCAGTGCTGTTTATTAGTGATGGGCCGAACACCCCCTGTTTAGTTCACGGTCGAACATTCGAACCTAACGAAAGTTCGACTGTGAACTTCAAACAGAGAGGAAAATTTACTAAGTGGTGTGCATGAGTATGCGGTAAGATACGGCACAGCTACTAAAATACTGCATTAGGTATATTATTAAGTCATGCAGTATTTTAGTAGTGAAAACATTTTTTCATGCTGACAGCTGAATGTAAAAAGAACTGCCAGCACTGCCCAGCAATTAAAATTTTTTTATAAAATGTGTGGGGTCCCCCCCATCCATACAAAGCCCTTCAGGTCTGGTATTGATTTTGAGGGGTACCCCACACCAAACTTTTTTTAAAATTGCATGGTTGCATGGGGACCCCACCGAAATCCATACCAGACCCTTTTTAGAGCATGCAGCCTGGCAGGTCAGGAAAGGGGGGGAGGATGAGTGAGCACCCCCCGAACTATACCAGGCCACATGCCCTCAACATGGGGGGTTGTTTTTGGGCAGGGGGGACAAGGGCCTTTTCCTCACAACTGTGACCGGTAGTTGTGGGGGTCTGCGGGTGGGGGTCTTATCAGAATCTGGAATCCCCCTTTGACAAGGGGGCCTCCAGATCCTGCCCCCCATGCGAATAAATATGGGGTACATGGTACCGCTACTCATTCACAAAAAAATTATAGTGTAAAAAATGACAGTCTTTGACAAGTCCTTAAAAACAAAAAAAAGAATGTCCCCCAAAGTAGATCCAACATCAATCATGAAGCCCGCCACCACCACTGACCCGAAAAAAGAAAAAAAAAAACACTCCACTCTTGATGCTGGCACCCGTCGTCTCACAGCTGCGTCGGGATAACAGTTCTTAAATATCATTACATCACCGCTGCCCCCTTTTGACATCATCATGCGCTGTGATTGGCCAAAGCATTGCACCTGACCTGTGGTCCTTTGGGCAATCACAATGCACTATCAGGGTGCAGTTCATTGTGGGGTACGTCGGGCGAAAAGCCTGCTGAATGCCCTTACTGTTTGTGTGTTTGCCGAACACATGAATGGCCAATGTTTGACTCCAACATCATGCCCAACACAACTGTTTATTCTTATAGTCAGACAGTGTCTACATTTTGTGGATTGTGTGGTACCCATGTTTGTAATGACTTTGTGTATTACAACTAACTATACTACTCTGTTAGCTTTGTTATATCTTTTTGTCTTACCATCATAAATTTCCTGCATTGCTGGGACTAATCCACATGCCCCTGCTGTATACAGGTATCCACCATCAAGACCGACAGCATCAGCTACACCTTGCTGCAAAAAAAAAAAACAGTCACCAAAATGTCACTCAAAAGCAGAACATCACACCAGCACAGTACTCTTCTAATACATTAGGGGAGCCAACTTAAGCTTTGGCATACATATGAATGCACAGGTATACACACAACACCCACCTAAAGAATAAGTAAACCCAGCATTTCATATTCCTGATGTGTACAGTACCAGCTCTACCATGTACTTGTATGAAAAAATTATACTGTTCTCTTTGTATTGCATCTTTGCATGAAATCCCTGGTGTTCCAGCTAGTCCCTCTGCTTTCCTTTTAAACACTGACCATACTATGCAGGAGCGCACAGTGTGGTCAGTTCTTTAGATAAGCTGGGAACTCAGCCTGTTCTCCTCCAATGATCAGACTTGTCCTGACACAACCATTCACTGGAAAGTTCAGTGTGCTGTCCTCTCCTAGCTCTTATGCAGCTGAAAACAGAGGGTATGTGATTACTTATAAAACAGAGGGAAAAATGTTATTTAGAATGTTTTTTAAATCACATTTATGGCTGTAATGCTTACAGCAGAATATAAAAGGTGCTCTTCGGCAGCTTAATGGAAAACTCCAGTCATGACAAAATTGCCAGTAAATTTACATAATGCTATAAGGCCTTGGAATTATTTTGAGCTGACAAATCATCTGTGTTGGGGGGTTTGGAGTGCCTGTTTTCTCTCTGTATTCCTATTTTACTGGAGTTTTGAATTTTCTTATTATGACCTTTCATTTTTACTATTCATCTGTTTAAACCCCTATCCTAGCAAGTCTGCATAGGTTCCATTTTACTGATGTTTACTTACTTCACTTTAATGTTTGGTATCCCTTCAGTCAAAAGAAAGCAATTCCAACATGTCTCTGTGCTCCAGTGTATCAACACACAATTCAGTAAGAATATGCCCATATTTTTTTTGTATTGTGTGTTGACAAGCTGGCCTGGACTGGACAGTTTCATGAAATAGTAATGTAGGAAATTGTAGTGGATTGGCAGCAGAGAATGCCTCAAGAGTTGGGTAATTGAAGAAGGCCTATTCAACCATAAATTCGAATTTGTGCCCATAGGTTTCTAGACATTTCTCACTCACCAAAACTTTTGTAATGCATTCTTCTGCATTAGAAGCTTCAACGCATTCAATGCTTCCTTCGCTTGCAACACTCCATTTGTCACACTTTTTCTTCTCCTCTGTGCTTTGTGTGCACCAGCGGATTGAATTCTCTGATGGAGGCTCCATCTCTGCATTAAAAGTGATGGAAATTGTATTTAGAGATCATTAATACTTGTTGCTGCTAAGAATCTGCAGCTTAGGTCCATGACTAGTGTTTTATTGATGGTGCTGTACACATTCTGTCTACCTGTAGCCAGGTATTGGACAACAGAAACCTAAAAACTGAGACATTTCCCTCTTTACAATCAGTTTGATTTCACTTTTTACAGCTGTGCTGGATGTTGTGTGCTGGATGTTGTATTGCACTATCCCCTCCTCTAAAAAAAGGGGGAACAATAGCCAATAAAGCTTAGGGATGTTTATGCAGAAATATGGGGATCATGGGAATTGGAGTCTGAAACATCAATAACAGAATCGGATTTATGGACCTTTACAATACAGTTCCCATAGGACATTATGGGGGAAGGAGAGTGGTGGGATAGCTTTTAATAGACTATTCTAAGAACATCTTCCTGTTGGCACTAAGGGGAGCAATAAGAGCAAATTTGCTGCATATGGACCAGACTGCTGAGAGGTCAGGCCAGCGGAGACACCCGTGGCACCACACCACAGACTGCAGCAATCACATCTGCACCATTTCCACAGGGAAATCCTCTCACCCTCTACTTCCCACAGCTAAATCTACAGGGGAATTCTGTAGAGAAACTGAGGGGGCCCTCCTTTCTACAGCAAGAGTTCACAGCTACACCACAGGGACTGGTGAGAGAGTTCAAATTGTTCACATTGCTAGCAGGGACTGAGTTACTGGAGGTATGATATTAGGTATATCACACATTTACTGTATCTTCACTGACCCTATACTGCACCTGTATAGCACCCTTATTGCACTTTTACTGCACCTATACTGAATGCTGGTTTCTTAAAACTGTCGTTAAGTGCACCAATGCTTCTTAAAGGGCCCCAATGACAGCCAGCAGAAGAATACCAAAAGGGCTGCCCCTCTCATAAAACCAGGATGCAGTATAGGTGCAGTAAAGATGAAATAAGGGTGTGGTACACTGGCAGGATACAATCCCCCTTTGTCCCCTTCTCCCCTCTCCTTCATTTCTATGAACATTGTACATGCAGCTGGTCTAGGCCTAGTATAGTTGCTGTTAATGCACTTTGGTAGTATAGTTCTTGTGTTTGGTAAATAAAGCTTCAATATTTAATAACTCCCAAAACAACCTAATCAAAATGCACTGGGTCTAAAGTCTTCAAAGGTACTATTTTACATGGCCATATCTTGTATGATTTATCCTAAGCAGCAGACCACTGCCTTGAAATGTGGAGGTCGGCAGGAGGAACCACTGAGTACTGAGTAGGACTAGAAATTAAATACTCTTGGCAGAGATTTTTTATGAGGAAGACTTCAGACAGCAATTTTTCTGGTTAAGAGCAGCAAACAGCAGTGCACGCTGTAGGAGAGGTAAGTGTTCACTTTTTCCTTACATGTGCCTCTTTCATGGACAATTTTTGTTTGAAAACAGTGTCACTTCATAAATAAGTAAAAATGTACACATTTTGAAATGCAGAGACATGAAAACATCCTTAAAGTAAATCTATTCCCTGCTAATGGAAACATTGAGGGCAGGATTTGGATTTGACGTCATCACGCACAGCTGTGGTTGGACTCATGGCTTGGAGATTACAGCTGAAGACAACCAGGCATATAAACAATGTGCCAATATACCTGTGTCGGTGGCAACACATGTAAATGTGAGTTGCTTGATGTTTTTTTGCAGTAAAACGTTTTTAATGGTTTTATGCTATGGGAGCTTCCCTATTCTTTCTTCCTTACTGATGCGACTGATTGAGTTATATGAGTGAGCGGTTCTGAGAAGCCCTATGAAAAAGGACCATGAGGCTGTAGATCGTTACTCCCAGAGCATCCCGCGCTTTATCTGGTTAATGATTTAACCAGCATATGGCTCTGGTGACTTTATTTAGTTTGGTGGTGAAAGAGCACTATATTGGTAACACTAAGTAGATTTTGTTTGCACAAGAATTAAGTTATTTTATTACTTGGTGGACTTTTTAAGTTATTTATTTATGAATGACATTATTGATATGCAAGACTAATGGAAAAATATTGTTCATAAGATTCCCTACATTATTTATCACTATTTGAGAGTTATATATTTTTGCACATTGCATTTCATACTTTGATTGTATGATTATTGTTTGATATTTTCATCCTCATTTTGCACAATTTACACGTTGAACTTTAATACCTTTATGCATGTTTATATATTGATAGAATAAAGTTTTTTTGGATTGATTTTGGGTGGCGCTGTTCCATTTACCCATTAAACATCAACCACTGCCTCAATAATAATTTGTACATAACATATTGAACAAGTACTTTAGGGATAGCACTGCACAGCCCCGAAGTTTCTCCTCTTTTAACTCTGCAGAGCACTCATTATTATTATAATACAGTATTTATATAGCGCCAACTGTTTGCTCAGCACTTTACAATATAACGGGAGACAATACAGCAACAATACAGTTCAATACAAGAGGGATAGGAGGGCCCCTCTTATAACACCATAGCTCTATATTTGCTGTATCATAGCCACCCTGTAAACATTTCAAGAAAATAACTTCACCCTTTATTGAGATTTTTGAATATTATTTGTTCATGATGAAGACAACTATCTTAAGATCTGAGTTTTCCATCACGAAAATTGGTGTTTGATAATAAATCCTATTTATTTTGCTATTTGAAGGTTAATAAAACATTATAGTAGAATTGTCAATTTCTGACAAGTTTCATTTATCGCATTTATTTCATTTTGTAGTAAGATGCATTAAAAAAATATTCATACCTGATTTATGGGGCATTAGCATGCTCTGCCTGCCCTTTCAAACTGAATGGGCTGCCTTAACACAGTAAGCCTTAATAAAGGATACCACACTGCACTAATGTGTGTTCTCTAATACAAAGCATAGTGTGTAGAAGACCTTAAACTTATGGTAGCAATAGCAGCCGTTCATATCTTAAAGGCCAAGACAGCAGCTTTGTACCATATAGGAAAGTTTGGACAATTCAGAAAATGGAATCTACAGAAAACAGAAATATCAATTTGGGGCAGACTGATTCTTTAGGCTTTATTTTATATGAACTTTAATTTTAAATACATAACCGTAATAATTGGTTCATGAATTAATGTTTCCTTGTACCCACAAAAAATACATAAGTGAATAATTAAACATAAATTATATATATATATATATATATATATATATATATATATATATATATATATATATACATACATATATATATATATATTCATCTTTTGCTTTTATTTTTCTCTTGCTAACACAGAACATATAAATGAAAAATGAGACATGTGGGACACATACCATTACTCAGGGCTCTATTGGCATTTGTAAATCCTCTTCCCAGATACAGGAAGGAGTTCATTGCTTTTGGAAGAGTAGTGAGGCTAATTGCAGAGTCTTTGAACATCAAATCCCTTCCATGAGGAGAACTGAACAGTTTGCATTCTGTTTTTTTCTAGAATAAACAAAAATGGGCAGTAATTGGATACTGTATATATGCATATGTTTAGAGTGATCCTGTCAGCCATTTTCATTACCAGTTATATGCTATTACCTTTTGTAATAATCCACTCATGGCTGACCTGGGTCACAGTTTGTGGACATCTAGTTCTCCCCTCTCTCCCCGGCGTTTATAGATTTAGAGCTGATTAATTTTGTTCTCCATAGCCAACTCAACATTTCCTTGCACTGCAGCTGTTCTGCATCCTCTACACTTGACCTTATTAACAGATTTTAGAGTGAAGCCAGGGCTTCCAGCCTTTGCAGCCTCTTTCACTTGGGGTGGATTCTGTGCAGATCAGCTGGGGATCTGCTCACAGATCCTCTTCTAATTGGAGCAGGGTGGGTGGATGGCACATTTGTGCCCACTCAGTTTTTGCTGAAAGGACACAAAAAGACCCCACTCTGCTGTATGGGCATCCAGATGTAAACAGACTCCACTGTCCATTTATACCTGACTACCCTCCAATCCTATCCACCTAAATGGAAGAGGACGGATCCCTTTCCATTTTTTTCTAGTGGACTGGATCAGACCCTGAAATAGACACAAGTCTGTTTACACCCACTTGTCCATAGGGTGCATGGACCTTCTGATCAGGTCCACCTGAAAAACTGACAGGCAGACCTGATCAGATTGCCTGTGTGAGAGGTGCCTGACTTAGTCTGACTTCCATCTGGAGTACTCCTGTAGATTATCTGGGCATCTTCTGAACTCTCCTTGTCTGCACTGGTCCAGATTATCTACCTATGGTTTCTACTATTGTTAGTTTTTTGCACTGACCATCTGTCTGAGGTTTCTGTATCTATTGCTTCAGCATCTGAATTGCCTGTATTGGTATGTTAACAGCACAACATCTGTACCATCAGTGGTTCTGGTGAAGATCTGATACACAGGGCTGTTCAAGAGTCCTGCACCACCTTGTGTTGACATGAACTGTGACGACTTTATTAGTCTAAAAACTCTTCTCCGTGCACCTCTCTTGTTCAGTTTTTTCTTTATTAGGAGCCTGTTTCTTCTTTTTTCTGAGCTAAACTTTGACAGCCTGAATAAATCCTGTCCATGAAAACTATCCTTATTATAATGTAATTAAATGTTATTAAAAGTTACCTTTCCTTTTCAATTGCAATGCAGCACTGTAATGTTCTGTAAAATGCAATGCAATATGGCTACCTTGAGGCCTTCTGTACAGAGATGGTGTACAGAATGCCCCATGTAAATCTTATGTCCTGCTTGTGTGATTGGCTTTCTGATTTTCCCAGAAGTCTGCAATAAGATACACGTCAGATTTGTGGTGTCCCCTGCAACAAAAATGTAATTTTTGACAAGATACTCCCAAAAGGAAACACATCTAAAGGAATGCAGACCCTGCCAGTTTTTCTCATTAGAGCTTTGCAGATGCAGCTGCTCATTGCTAATTATAAAACCACTCCCATACAGATTCACTCTGTACAAGGACACAGTCAAACAAACAGCTCAGAATAACAAAAGATAGGAATCTGCAAAAAACGTTTTGTAAAATCCTTGCAATGTACAGTATATAAACCACACAGAGGATAATTTATTTTTCTCAACAGAAGTGAAGTTACTCTTTAACTTTTAATTCAGGGAAACCAGACCCCCTGTTAATGAAATTAAACTAAGCAATATGTTGGAGACTGTGGTACCAACTTTTGGGTCATCATCATCAGGAACAAAAGAACCCAAACATCCATTGGCTCCTTTGGGGGTGGCACCACATACAGTATTTAACTTTTTTTTTTAGGTTTAGATATACTTTAACCACTTGCCGTCCGGCCGCTGTATATAAATGGCCTGGATGTGGCAGTCCAGGGCAGGTTGTCGTTCATAAACGGCGACCGCCATTTTGGACTGTGCACGCTCCCTGGGAGCGTGCAGCACCGCGATCCAGTGCCCGCTGTGTCCTCCGGACACAGTGGAACACTGATCGTCGTACGGGACCTCTGTGTGAGGTCCCGATCATGTGATCACTGATTGGCCAATCAGTGATCACATGCAGAGTAGTAGGCAAGATGTCACTTCTGACATCATTGCTTACTACGTGTGAAATCTGTGAATGATCACAGAGGTCACATGGTACAAGGCTATTCACAACAGCCTTGTACCATGTGACAAGCTGTGACCAATCACAGCTCACACAGTAGTTCTGAATGGCTGCAAGAATGCAGCCAGAGAGAAGTAGAAATTATTGCTTTTACAGCCTTTATGGGTGTAAAAGCAATCAGTGTAAAAAAAATAAAAAATAAAAAATCATAACCCCCCACAAGTAGTACTGTATCACCATGGTGACACTGTACTAGGGTGACAGTATGTAGAAAAACAAAACAAAACATAAATAATAATATAAAAAAAAAAAATAAAAATGTAAAAAAAAAATGTTTAAATTATAATTTTTGGTTATAAACTAATTTGGGTTATTTTTTTTTTACTAAAAAGATAACTGAATAAATTTTGGCCAAGATTTATGATGAAATATTATTTATTTGCAAAGTTTTATAAAAAAAACACTTTTTTACAAAATTTTTGGACTTTTTCATTTATAGAGCAAAAAAAATAAAAATCCCAGTGGTGAATAAATACCACCAAAAAAAAAGCTTTATCTGTCTCAAAAAAATGCTAAAAAATTCATATGGGTACAGTGTTGCATGACCACGCAAATGTCATTCAAAGTGTGATAGCGCTGAAAGCTGAAAATTGGCCTGGACAAGAAGGGGTGAAAGTGTCCGGACTTGAAGTGGTTAACCATAACTTGGTCATGGTTCTGGTTCTCTGGATGTGCATGATGTCATCCACAGGGCATCACATTTGTTTAAAGGGTAACTCCATTTTCATTGGGAAAAATAGCAAAAACAAACAGTGCAATTGATATACAAGCCATATTGTAATAAAATGTTATTAAAAATTACCTTTCCTTTTTAATCTGCATTGCTGTAGTTTTCTGTAAAATTCAATGCAGTATGGCAACCTGGAGGTGTTTCATACAGCGTTGGTGTGTGGAACTCCTCCATTATTACATTACAGCGCCTCCAGAAATGAATGTTATTTCCTGCTTGTATGATTGGCTCACTAATTTCCCCAAAAGTCTGCACTAAAATACAAGTCAGATTTAAGGCATCATCTGCAACAAACATTTCTATTTTGGTCAGTTACCCTCAAAGGGTTATTGAATTCAAAAGGGATTCAGTCCCTGAAATGTTTGCTCATTAGAAACACCGCAAGTGTATCAGCTAATTGAAAAAGTCACTCAGATTCACCTTGCACATTGACATAACCAAACAAACAGCTATTTCTTCAGAGCAGAAACAGGTGGGAATCTGCAATAAAGACTTTTAAACATTGCAATGTACATAGATCACCCAGTGGAGATTGTTTGTTTTCTCAACAAAAGTGGAGTTACTTCTTAACTTCATTGGTGTAGGTACAACCTAGACAACCTAGGATTTTTCAGGTCCTCTTTAATAGCCCCTGAAAAGTATATTTAAGTGTATGTTTGTAAGCTATAAAAAGTGGTTCCAGAAAAAATGTGTCTACAAGTATATACTTACACCTCCAGTTAATGTGCTTTTATAACTACTGTATACTGTTACTCTGTACAGAATACTCTGAATTTTGTTATGGTGGAAAGAAATTGAATTTACCTGAGCTTCCTCAAGGAACTGAGTGACAGATCTGATTTTCTCTTCCCTGTTCACAGTAACCACAGCATGAGCCGGAATTCTTGTCCAGAAACATTCCTTGTACTTTTCAACTGGCTTCCTAGTATTGTCCAGGCACAGCAGTTCATAACCATTATGGAATTCAGCTGCAGATGAATGTAGATGCACAGTTAATGTCATAAGCAGAAAATAATTGCTGCACTTCATGTTTTGTTGATTTTATAAATTAATTATTATTATTATACAGGATTTATATAGAGCCAACAGTTTGCTCATCGCTTTACAATATAACAGGAGACAATACAGCAACAACACAGTTCAATACAAGAGGGATAGGAGGGCCCTGCTCCTTGGAGCTCACAATCTAGGAATGTGTACTACTTTTTATATCACAGAGAGCTAGCAGAACGTTAAAAAAAACCTTGACAAAGCACAAATGCTGTTACATCTAACAACTGAGGGGTGAAAGTAACCTGTGCTTGTTCCCTATACACCAGCAAAGTTGTGAAATTTCAGGAGATGTTTAGCAGTAACGAAGATCAAAAAGTAGAATCATTGCTTCATTAACTTTGATTCATCATAATCCTTTCCTCTGGCAAAAAATCAACCAAATTTAGAAATTCAGGAACTCACAATTTATGAATTGTATGTGAAACTGGAAGAATCAGCAATTCTCTGCCTGTAAAAATGACCTTATGAACAATCAAATAAAGCAGATACAATTTTAGAAAGTGACTGGAGAGAAGCGCCTTAGTACTAAACAATTGTAAAGCTGCTATGCACGAATGAGGTACCAATAACCCCTAGAAGACCTTACTAAACATAAAATAAAGTGCAGCGCTAAACATATATAGATAATGACATGTATTCAATCAGTTCGATCAATAAAAAGTCCTCCTCAATTAGGTGACAGAGATTAGGTGCTCAAGTATGCAGGTGACTTAGGTATTCAGGTGACTTGGTTCAGGTATCCGTGCACGAAAGTGATAAAGCAATGCGCACTCACCAGACCCGCATAAAATATGCGCCTTCGTGTATAAATGATCCAGATGTCATCCGATACTGGGTGGTCCTCCCTCAGCTGTGTATGAGGCTGATGATCCTCTCCACTTAGGGGTCCCCCTGGTGTTGGACGTTAAAGGATCTGGTCTGGGTCCCTCCGGTGTATCCAGGAGCAGGTCTGCAAATTAGAGTGCTCTCCCCTCCTTGCTGTTCCTTCACATGTGTGTTTCTCTGTGCTCACCTATAGGTGAGCACAGAGAAACACACATGTGAAGGAACAGCAAGGAGGGGGAGCACTCTAATTTGCAGACCTGCTCCTGGATACACCGGAGGGACCCAGACCAGATCCTTTAACGTCCAACACCAGGGGGACCCCTAAGTGGAGAGGATCATCAGCCTCATACACAGCTGAGGGAGGACCACCCAGTATCGGATGACATCTGGATCATTTATACACAAAGGCGCATATTTTATGCGGGTCTGGTGAGTGCGCATTGCTTTATCACTTTCGTGCACGGATACCTGAACCAAGTCACCTGAATACCTAAGTCACCTGCATACTTGAGCACCTAATCTCTGTCACCTAATTGAGGAGGACTTTTTATTGATCGAACTGATTGAATACATGTCATTATCTATATATGTTTAGCGCTGCACTTTATTTTATGTTTAGATACAATTTTAGAGTTATTGTACTCATTGGGTGTTCTATCCCTATTCATCCTTGGTAATTCATAAATTGTTTCAGTAAATTAGAAAGATTATAACATCATTTTTATTTCCCTTTCCTGCAAATTGACCACATAACAAAACTCCAGAGCAATTAAAAAAAAAAAAAAAAAATTTTCAGTGAAAATGCATGCTAACCCATGTCTCTGTTATACATTTATGACAGAACTAAAATAAAATTAGGCCTGACTGTGGCCATCACTCCTTTTCAAAATGTCAAACTTGAGATATCTGCTCCCATAAAACAATAGGGGTGTTACTTCAATAATGCAGAGAATTTGAGGAGGTATGCAATGACACAGCATGATTGCCACTGTCAGTCCATGGCCAAAATCTTCTTCTCACTGCTTGATCCCTATAGGTCAGCCCCCTAAGGCTAGAGAGATTCAGGGTATAGTTCCACAGAAATGTATTGGGATTTATTGCCTAATGGCAATGGAGGAAGATTTTGGTTGCAGGCTATCAACATTGTGGCAGGCCACAAATCTGAAATTAGGGTAAGTATGCATCTGGAGCAAGGGGAGAGCAGGAGCTAGGCAGTAGTAGGGGGTTTAGATAGGAACGATAATTACTAAAGTACATCTATCCATTAAATGGGAGTAGGCACCGGCAGTATTTCTGAGTCATTGCGAATAGGAGATTATTTCATTTGCAGCTTAAAGTAATTGTAAAGCTTCAGGTTTTTTTTTTTTTAAATAATAAACATGTCTATACTTACCTGCTCTGAGCAGCCCTGATTCTCCTCTTCTCAGGTCCTCCGCCGGCGCTCCTAGCTCCTCCTAATTATCTAGTGCCGCCATAGGAAGCCGCTGGATTTTGAAGGGACTTAGCTAAGTTGGGAGGTTCCAGGCAAAGACTTTTTTTATACCTCAATGCATAGAATGTATCATAGTAATATTAAAGGCAATGTTTAAAAAAAACAAAAACATAACAAACATGTTATATGTACTTGCTCTGTGCAATGGTTTTGCAAAAAGCAGCCCCGATCCTCCTCTTCTCCGGTCCCCCGCTAGCACTTCTGGCCCCCCCCTCTGCCAAGTGCCCTCAGAGCAAGCAGCTTTCTATGGGGACACCCAAGCAGGATTGCTCCTGAGCTGCTGCGGCTCAACTCTTTTGGCTAATTGGCTCGCTGGCTGTGATTGACTGCAAAAACATAGCAAACTCTGTATTCCTGTGCTTGGGGATGGACTCAGCAAAGGCTATGGTAACAATTTAGATGTCCTGAAAAATGCACTCCTTGCTGCCCTCAATGGACCAGGGTAGTTCAAAGTCAATGGATACAATGAAAACAAACAGAGGGCGCACCAGCCTAGTGAATTATTGTAAAAAAAAAATGTATTAAAAGGATAAAAAGTAAGTATCATACTCACAACTGACATACAGGACAAAGGCACATCACACTAAACAGCAAGAGTTGGTAAAACAGTCAAGTGTGAAGGAGCCCTAAATTGCTACTTGTGAAGATTTTCAAAACGTTCTTGCAATTTGCAGTGTGATTTCCACTATATTTTATGTATGTGAAATTGCAATAACACTGCAGAAGTAAAAGTAATGCAAGAACTACTTTAGAAATCATGCTGCAGCAAACTGCATGTTAGGACATTGACATTGACATTCATTAGATGTGATTTCAGGTGCAATTTCAATTCACAAATCGCGCCTGAAATCGCACCAGTATGACCGGGGACTTAAGACCATAGTCTGAGCATGGGTACTCTTTAAAAACCTTGAAAATTTTTAGAGACACATTTTTTAACAGGTTATATTTAGACACAGTCACTGGTCACACCACTGCAATTTAAAATCACACGTGATTTGTGTGTACAATTTCAGCACGATTTCAGGTGCGATTTCTGAAGACTTTATTTTCAGCGATTTCTGAAGACTTTATTTTCAACGATTTCTTGCAATTTGCAATGCAATTTCCATCACTCTCTATGTATGTAAAAACTGCAGAAAAAGTAGTGCTGCAGCAAATCACATGTTAGGACACTGAAATTTACATTCATTAGATGCGATTTTAAATTCCTTAAATCACATCTGAAATCGCACCAGTGTGACCAGGCACTACGTCTAATCTGCAATGGATCACTTTTCTGATGAGTTTGGCAGGCAGTGTGGAGGCAATATGTTGTCTTTTCACTGCCTGTTTTACCCTGTAAATGCCGCACAACCGCACCACAATCACTTGCACTACACACAGCTGCGGGGCAGTCACTTGAATGGGTCACATTTGGTGGCAGTACTGCCACCAAAGGTGACAAGGGGGATCTTTTGGCTATGGCTGTAAAGCATTGCAGCCATGGAATGTGTACAACCCTATCCAGCTGCCTGCCTTTGCAGCTTAAGGTGGATCTTGGGGGGGGGGGGGGGAGTAAAAATTGCTGCTAAACCACCTGTTTTTACATCCCCCCAAACACAACTGTAAATGAGAGATATAAACACATCTGACATTTCTTCAATAACTCTTTCCTTTGCAATAAAATGTTAATTAAATGTGTTATGCATGACTAATCTGCTTCTGCAAATTATTATCTAACAGCTTAGCACATCGCACATCGCATATTTTCATGTGCTTTGTGCTATATGTACTAACACATAAATACCATCACCATGATTTTAGTTAAAAACTCCAACTCTTACTATAGGACCAAACTTACTTTGTTAAACCTGAACTCTGGGAAAATCAATATATTGTCTAAATATACGGACTTTGTCCCCTATGTAAAGAAGAACAAGAACAATTGATGTGATGAAGAACAAAAAAAAAAAATTAGGCAGGAAAAAAAAATAAGTAAACATTATATGTTATATATATATATATATATATATATATAATAACTAAAAAAATTTTTAATTGTAAAAAATTTAAGTTACACCCAAGCGCATAACACCCACCCCCCAAAAAAATTGAGTCCCCCCCCCCACACGTACAAACGTAAAAGCACACGCTGGGGCGCCTACGTATGTAAACGTCGACTGCGATACACGTTAGATATCACCACGCACGCCAGAATGAGAGCAAAAATTCTAGCACCAGATCTCCTCTGTAACACTAAACTGATGACCTATAAGGAGCTTTAAAAGTGTCGCCTATTGAAAATATAGGGAACTGAAGTTCGTTACCATTTCACAAGTGTGCGAAAATTTAAGGTTTGCCAAATTGGATATCTATTTACTCGATGCAACCTCATCTTTTATATTTTACAAAAAATAGGGTAATTTATTGTTTTTTTTTGTGCACTAAAATTAACTTTTACTTTTTTTTTACTGAAATTTTGCCGTAATATCATGCGACATAAAAAATTGGAACAACCACTATTTTATTGTCTGCTTTCAAAAAATATATAATGTTTGGGGGTTTTAAGTAATCTTCAGGCCAAAAATGATTTTTTAACCACTTGCCCTCCTGAGGATTTATCCACCTTCCTGACCAGGCCATTTTTTACGTTACGGCGCTGGGTTACTTTGACTGACAATTGTGCGATCATGCAACACTGCAACCAAATGAAATTTAGGTCCTTTTTTTTTTTTCCCCATAGATTGAGCTTTCTTTTGGTGGTATTTGATCGCCTGTGCGTTTTTAATTTTTTGCGCTATAAAAAAAAAGACAATTTGGGGAAAATAATATTTTTGACTTTTTGCTATTAAACATGTCCAGTAAAAAAATTTAAAAAATCTAATTTCATCATAAATTTAGGGCAAAATGAATTCTGCTACGTCTTTGCTGAAAAAAAAATCCAAATACGTGTAAATAGATTGGTTTATGTGATAGTTATAGCGTTTACAAATGGTGGTATAGATACTATAATTGTTTTTTTTTTTTTTTTACTAATAATGGCGGCAATCAATGACTTATAGTGGGACTGCGGGACTGCGGTGGGCATTCTGACACTGGTGGGAACTGACTTGGTGTCACTGACATCATCCCCAGTGACACCAACACAGTGATCAGTGCTACAGTGATCAGTACTAATGGCACTGGGCAGGAAGGGGCTAACATCTGGCTCGATCAAAGGGTTAACTGTGTGCTGGGAGTGTTTTACTGGGGGGTGGTGTGTTGGTGCTTCACTGCAAGCACACTGCTCTGGATGGCTGTGCTGTGCAGTGTGCCCGAGCCGACAGGGAGGAGGACTGTAAGTAAACAAACCTCTTCCCCGTCAGAGATCCTTGGTAATCACTGGGTGCCAGCGGGTAATTATTGGCTGGGACACGGTGATTGACAGTCGCGGTAGCGTATATATACATGATTTTGCGCACCCCTGCCACCCTGTAGCAGTATATCTGCTATAGGGTGACAGGGAAGTGGTTAAACTTGTGCAATAAACCCAAACAACGGCTCTGGCAGTGAAAGGGATAAAGGATGAGCCGGACACTCCCCTTTCCTAAGGAGCAGCCAATTGGTGCTCACTACACTGTAAGGTCTCTCCCCTCCCTGCTAGTCCCTGGGTGCTTTGCTGGAGACAGGCGGGGGGGGGGGGGGAGGAGATAAACAGTGCAACAATAGAAATAATAAATGTTTAAGTCGCCATAAAGCCCCTTTTGTTTTTAAAAGTTCCAGACATTCCTAATATCACCTCCGATTTAAAAATGGTTTTGGTTAACAGTAATATTTTTTTATCTGGACAAGTAGATTGGGGCACCAATTTAGTCCCTGGACAAGTAGTTTTTTCAAAAATTTCCACACATCTGATTTATTTAACCCCTTCATGCCTAAGGGTAAAACAAATCCTAATGCCTAAGCACAATTTTACAAGGTTGACATGTGTTAGTAAAACCGTACATATCATCACAACTACTTTGTACATCCAGGTGAATTATACCTTGTTTTTTTCAGGAAAAATTGGGCTTTCATTTGGTGGTAAATGGTAATGGATAGCTCCTGATTTTTGTTTTATTATCAAAGGAAAACTGGCCCAAAATAGTAAAAAAAAATTTTTTTTTTTAATTTAGCTGTGTGTTTCTTGTTGCTACCATAACCTACCACCAAAGAACAACACAAAATACATTTTTCAGCTCTTGAGATACCATATATGTGTATGTTATTTGTTGTTTGTACCCGTAGTACAGTCCAGAAACAATAGTACACATTTTGTTTTTGTTTTTTTTTTACCTAAAACACACTGACACTGATACCAATTAAAAAAAAAGTCCTGACCTTTGACCCTGACCTTTTAACCTTGACCTTTGACCCTGACCTTTTGACCTTGACCTTTGACCCTGACCTTGACCCAAACACTTACCCTGGCACTGAACTAGATCAAACCTTCATCTAGGTATTTTTTCTTTCTTTCTTTTTTTTTTTTAATTACTTTTTTTTTTAACAAACATTTTTTCCCCCCTCTATGCCAGGAGTTGGAGAGATACAATGTATCTCTCTCCTCCATTCCTAGAGAGAAAAAAACCCCCAAGGGCCAGGTTGTACAGTGACTGATCACTGTGATAGCCAATCAGAGGCTATCCCAGCGATCATGTGACCTGGAAGCTGAACCCAGGGCTCTCAGTGGCACCTTGTTCTTTGTGCTGGGAGCGCTCCCAAGAAAAAAAAAAACTCTCTAGCAATACACACAAAACTGAGCATGCACATGTGACCATGAGTTCAGTCTGTATCAGGTGGTCATTTCAACAAGAGGAGTGGCAGAGAAGACAGGATCAAACAGCCTTTTTACACAATGTGGAGGATTAACCCCTTAGGTTCCACAGTGAGTATGACAAGCATGCTTTACTGCATATACAGACTGATTTTACTGTTGTGGGTTTAGTAACAAATTAAGGTTTTGTGACCAGATTCAGCTTAAATGCCAAAATATTAAGAAACAGCTATATTCAAGATAGTTTTATTACCTTGTAAAATATGTTTCACAAATGCCACGTCACCTTTATCCTCTTTCAGACATCTGCACAAAAAAAATAAAAGACTGCTAAGAAACAATTGTAAAAGTGTCATACAAGTTGTAAATGTATTCTGGGATCGTGTGTCCAGTGAAAGAATATTTAACCACAAAAATTTAATATATTCAGATTACCAGTTCTTATATGTGGTGGCTGCATTAGTTTTTTACTTTTTCAGGCAAGTAAGATTTTCAGCAAAAACAGAATTTACTTGTAGATCTTGCCACAATGCAGTGCCCTTGTCACTTACCGTGAATAAAGCACAAACATTCTCTTTGTTTTTTTATAAACAGTGCCAGTAATCATCTAAGAAGATGAACAAAAGCAGATAAGTCCAACCTACGTATGTGACAACCACGACTGTGTTATTTAAAGTGGAGCTCCACCCAAAAGGGGAACTTCAGCTTTATTGCTTTGCCCCCAGCTCCCCATTAAGTATTGGCACCTTTGGGGAGTGGGTACCCGAATTTGACAGGTACCCGCTCCCACTTCCGTTGCGATCGCCTAGGCGATCAGAAGTGGAAGTTGTCCTCCCCCTCCCTCCCTGTAGTCTTCTGGGACACGTGACAGGTCCTAGAAGACTACGGGACCATTCACAAAGGACAGCGCTTCTCACACATGTGCTGTGGGCACCTGGCTGTGAAGCCGCAAGCTATCACACTTGGGTGCCCACACTAAAGATGCCAGCGCAAGGGAGAGAAGATGGCCAGGTGAAACCAGTGGTGGTGAGGACACAGCTGGACCGAGGGACAGGTAAGTCTTTGCCCTCCCCACTGCAATATCAAGCAATGGAGAGGACAGAGGGCATCTGCTTTGCCTCTGGGAAGCCATTCACAACAGGGTCACGTGCAAACGAAGCCCTGGCTGTAAAATAATAACATGTACAGTATATTTATTACCTTTTCAGCAGCCTCTTTAAATGTCAGTGCTTTGTTGCTTCACAGCTACTGTAGGTATTCCACATTTTCTAGTGTGTCAAATTATATTTCTCTCCTGCCTCATGATGTGGTTCCTCCTGCCAAGCAATAAGTCTTGCAGTGATGTAAGAGTCAGCAGGAGGAACCACTGTGTGTGGCAGTTGGATCAGGTATTAGATGCAGTGACATATGAAGATACAGGCCACATAAATGTAACTATATGTGTTATTCTTTTACAACCTAGTTTTTTTTTTCTGTTTTTGTCAACGGATATGTTTCTGCTTTTGTAAGTATGTAACTAATAGTCTGCAGATATGTTCATGGTTTTTTCCATCCTTAATTACAAAGTATTTTGGGGGTACAAGGGCACTGTAAAATACATTCAGTGTGTACTGTGAGTAGGCTCAGACTCCATTTAACCATGCACTTCCAACCAAGTCGAATATGAGATTCTTCCTAGCCACATCCAATTTTCACTGTGGCACGCTTTGCAAATCACACTTAGTAGCTACTATTTGCTGTGGCAGGTTGTGCTTCACGCACCTTGCCCTGTGGGCCCAGAGTCCCAGCCATTTCCAGTGAAACAGCCCTAGCATGTATTGTCATTTATACAGCCTCACAGTTTGGAGGATGGGGGGGGGGGGGGTATTTTGGCCCTGTGAAGTAGGCTATAGAAGATCCTATTGTTTCTAATGATGGCCCTGAAGGTAGCCATTGGTGCTGCTGTCAGTGGAAACCCCAATTAGTAGTCCCCTGATCTTTGTGATTATCTCACTTACCCCTGAGACACTGCTTTGTTACTGTAATGTAGATGTCAACTTTGACCACAAGGTAACAGTGTTCATCAATTCTGTTCATCACTAGTTCCAATACAGAAGTGCAGAGACCACTGGCACCTGTGTGCTGGAAGCAGAACTTTTCCTACAGTTTGCTAATATCAAACTACACAACCTAGGAGCAATTGCAAGGGGTAAAAGTAAAAAGCCCAGGAACACAGGAGAGAGGGAGAGAGACTTTGTCACTATAAGGACGTGTGTGGGAGAGCTGTGTGGAGCCACGTGGGACCAAACCGGGTTGGGCCAGAAAGTCACAAGTGGCATTGGAAATCCGGGTAACCTGAGGAGGCATGCAAAAAGGAGGATTTGTGAAAAGAGATTCACAGAAAAGCGGCTACATTATGAACAGAATGTGACACTCAGAAAAATTTCCAAAAATTATGCTTTATTACACTTATAAATATGACATATGGGCAGTCGCCCTGGTTTACCATCACCTCAGTATGAGACAATACACACAGACCTAAAACCATTAAAATAACACCAAGACCGGTCTAAATGCATGTGCAACAGAGAAAATGACTACAAGAGTCTAATGTCCCTGTGACACAAACACATAGGTGAACACTTCCCAAAGGAGGTGTATCCAAAAATTATACCATAGGTATACCATAATACATGTTATAATATTAGAATTCGGCTATTGCCATAATGGTTATATCCCAACCAGGGAATCCAAAAATTATACTATGGATATGGATATCACATGTATGCAATACAGCAAGCACAATATGCGCCAAGAGGAGAACAATATGCCTCAGGCCTGTATGAAAAAAAGACAAAAATGTCATATGTATAATGCAATACATTCCTGTGCCGGCACAAGTGGTTGGGGCCCATTCATCTGTATAAACAGCTGTTTCCTAGAGCTCTTAAATGAGAATATGCCCCATTTATTCCCAGGATGGAAGCAAAAAAGATGCAAAAAGCAGCAATCTGCTTGAAATGGTTTCTTCACCACTACATGTGGACTACACACCACTTTCTGTAAGAAAAACAAGACACATCCCAAAAGATCTTCTGCCTGTTGAAATGCATGTGGTATATCTTGTTTCCCATAAAAAAGCACCATGATGTCCCCATCCTGTAGTAAAACAAACAATATGTGGAAGAGTCACTGACAGAGCTTACACTCTATGTAGGATATATAGGTCATATAATCACAGAGGACCATATATCTAATGTCCTGTAACAGTCCACTCACCACCTGTGCACTGGATAATAGGAACGGAAAGGATGTCCTTCATAGGTATTGCCATACAAGGCCAAAGAGGCCAAGGAACCACCGCTGACATCCGCCGATATACCGCGGGTTCCAGCCCCTTCTTGGCGCCTGTGCTGCTTAGGCTTGCCTCATGGCATGTGAAGATGGCTTCCTCCTAATGGGTCAGCGTGCGTTCATACGTGCGTTCATAACGTCAGATACGTCACTTCCGGTCATGCGCACTAGGTGGAACGCACGCTGACCCATTAGGAGGAAGCCATCTTCACATGCCATGAGGCAAGCCTAAGCAGCACAGGCGCCAAGAAGGGGCTGGAACCCGCGGTATATCGGCAGATGTCAGCGGTGGTTCCTTGGCCTCTTTGGCCTTGTATGGCAATACCTATGAAGGACATCCTTTCCGTTCCTATTATCCAGTGCACAGGTGGTGAGTGGACTGTTACAGGACATTAGATATATGGTCCTCTGTGATTATATGACCTATATATCCTACATAAAGTGTAAGCTCTGTCAGTGACTCTTCCACATATTGTTTGTTTTACTACAGGATGGGGACATCATGGTGCTTTTTATGGGAAACAAGATATACCACATGCATTTCAACAGGCAGAAGATCTTTTGGGATGTGTCTTGTTTTTCTTACAGAAAGTGGTGTGTAGTCCACATGTAGTGGTGAAGAAACCATTTCAAGCAGATTGCTGCTTTTTGCATCTTTTCTCCATCCTGGGAATAAATGGGGCATATTCTCATTTAAGAGCTCTAGGAAACAGCTGTTTATACAGATGAATGGGCCCCAACCACTTGTGCCGGCACAGGAATGTATTGCATTATACATATGACATTTTTGTCTTTTTTCATACAGGCCTGAGGCATATTGTTCTCCTCTTGACGCATATTGTGCTTGCTGTATTGCATACATGTGATATCCATATCCATAGTATAATTTTTGGATTCCCTGGTTGGGATATAACCATTATGGCAATAGCCGAATTCTAATATTATAACATGTATTATGGTATACCTATGGTATAATTTTTGGATACACCTCCTTTGGGAAGTGTTCACCTATGTGTTTGTGTCACAGGGACATTAGACTCTTGTAGTCATTTTCTCTGTTGCACATGCATTTAGACCGGTCTTGGTGTTATTTTAATGGTTTTAGGTCTGTGTGTATTGTCTCATACTGAGGTGATGGTAAACCAGGGCGACTGCCCATATGTCATATTTATAAGTGTAATAAAGCATAATTTTTGGAAATTTTTCTGAGTGTCACATTCTGTTCATAATGTAGCCGCTTTTCTGTGAATCTCTTTTCACAAATCCTCCTTTTTGCATGCCTTTTTGGCTACTGAATGGAGACCAAATATTGGGTGATACGATAATTTATTTTATAACCTCTCAATAATTATCTTTAGAACCTGAGGAGGCAGACTGGTGGAGACTTACTGACTGCTGAATTAGGAGGTCATTTATCATCATCATCGCAGCCACTTCTCCATAGAACAAAAAGGGGCCCCCTCTCCAGTTAGATGCGCATCACTATGCTCTGCTTTGCATAAGGACTGGGTGAGGGGTTCCTAACCCACTTTACGCTACTCTTGTTGCAAGTGTATCCACTGATCAAGCCAGTTCAAGTTAAGCACACTGTATTGTACAGGCCTCTGCAAACAATACAGATTCCTTACCCCACCTACTGATACAATTTGCCATTCTTATGCAATCAGCACATGTGCCAGAACCCATCCATTGCTATAGTCTATCATTTCTAACCACTTCACTAACCTGTAGCTTATCTGACTAAATAAACTCTGCTAACCCCTGCTAGGCAGAACTCTGGATTTACAAGTTCAATTTATCTATTTAAAGGGACATACATCTTATAATTTGTTTTCGCAATCCTTTTTCTTCTCTTAAAGTGACTTTTATTGGTAAAATCAACCAACACAGTGACTCACGTTACAAATCAGTATCTTAAAGGGACTTCATCACTTACTGAGCACCAATGTAAGGGCCCCAACAAAGCCGGCAGA